TCTGAACATCCAGTCAGCAATGCCAACGGTTAAACAATAAAAGGTACAACGGGTAAAATTCAATAACAGCAATTTAATTAACAAATAATAGTCAATCACTCGAATTTCTTAAATTCGCCTCTTTCCCTCCACTCTTTGAGCCTATCTCATCATATGATTTCAAGTGTGAGTTTTCACCCTGTCATTGGTTTTTCCCTCTAGGTTCCTTCTTCTACTGTTTTTCTTTCCGCTCCTCCAAGACTACTTTCCTCCTCTCGTTTATATGTCGAATACAATTTGCCGACCCCCCCCTCTCTCTCTCTCTCTCTCTCTCTCTCTCTCTCTCTCTCTCTCTCTCTCTCTCTCTCTCTCTCTCTCTCTCTTAAAAACTCAGGTTTTCTACCTCGCACTGGAAGTTGTCCATAAAAAGCTTTTTGTAAAACACAAGGATGGTACACTATTTTTTCTCGGCTCTCACGCCTCACATTACACATATAGCTTATCATTATATAAGGCTATGAAATTTCATCGGTCATGCATCCATAAACATCGAAATACGCATACACGCTTGTATGGTAAAACACAATATAATAGCACAACATAATAAAACAACATCATAAAAGCACGATATTAATTACTCGTATTCATACAATAATAATTGATTCACATTAGTAAATACCCATAATTCGATTATACTGACTATATCACAATATGACGATATTCAAATGTCTATGCTCTGATATATTCAAACATCTATTGTAACTAGTGAACGCTAACATACGCATTACTAAAGGTTCTGGTTGCCTCAGAGTAACCTATCACGACATTATAATATTAATTCTGATGAACTAGCAATCTACATAATTCTCTACGTAACTCAAATTCATGTCTTAAATAAGCTTATAAATGAAACACTACAAGGTAATTCTACATACTAAAACAATCCCAGTAATTGAGTAAACATAATATCAATACTTACAATTACGACGCTGTAATGTTTTGAAAAAAGCAAACAAATAACTAACTTCTAAAGCTTTTCTTTCTTTCTTCACAATTCTTTGTCCTACTTCTCCTGCCAATTTACGAATAGAGTCTCTCGGATTATAATTTGTAACTGCGAGATGCACTCCTCACAATCTGCACAGGTATACTAACGAATTCTTGGACAGAGGTCAGCTAATACTTTTTTTTCAAATCTAGGATTTTAGGCCCACCTCCTAGCTGAATTCCAATTGGATGCTGTTGGTTGACCCAATCAACTGAGCTGTCAGTGCTTCTCTTTTGTCTTCCTATATATCGGGTAGAACACACCACGCTTACCCTGCGGGCTTCCTTTTGATCTCCGACCAATGTATAACACATGGGTGAGAGCTGCAAGGTTGGACCCCGGAGCTGAGTTTCTGGTGATTTAATCGCTTGACCTTGGCTGGTGGTGATTCTTATACATCGAACGCGTTGAAAATACCTCACATTTATGCATCCGGTTAGCCTAGCTTGAAAGAAGGTGACATCTCTGCGACACGATGCCTCATTGCTAGACATCACTATGAACAGCCACATTGCAGACATCGTAGCAATGTGACTGAAAAATTGTTACAGCTACGTTAAAAATCATAATCACATCACATCTTTGTATATTGTGTTTCTTCGTAATTTACAATATTATTACATAGTACTCATTTATTATCAGATATCTTTCCATTAGCGATATTAGCTATCATGCTCAGCACTAACTCTACGATCAAGCAACATCCTATCAACAAAACCGTTGTATTTGTGTATTCACGGAGGATATAACATGCAATCAACAATAATGTTGTATTTGCGTATTTACGGAGAGATTTAACTGGATGAATATTTATTACACACTAAACAAACCAAAACTAATTCATCCACTGATACTTCTGACTTTAAGGTAATTTTGTTGTTTCATTTTACTGAGAGAACTTGTGGATTTTTTTTACAATCTATAGGTCAGACATAAATTATGACTTTTTAAATTTTTATCAATTTTCGTCAGTTTGATGTGATATTAGTATTCTATGAATGCGTTTGCAGTGTATTCAAGTGAAGTTTAAATTTTCTTTTAATTCAAAGCTGAATAGTCTCCTCAAACACTTGCCAGCTGGTTTGAGACACCCAAAGACACGAAGTCTATGAAACAATTATTCGTATCATATATTAAAATATTAAATTAAAAATGATAAAGAATGTAAAGCTATTAAGGATACTGGAGATCAACCAACACGAATGTTTCACGAATACATTATATTAATTAGAAAAAGGATCAAATGATGGCCGAAAAAAAATGGGACGGGCTATAGGGGTTTATAAAAAGCATAAAAAATCAAGGGATGGAAGATCCTGAAAATTCTATTGATATTGTTTCACCAATAAGATTCGACTATTCAGTAAATTTTGTTGATTTTCGGATGCAAGTATTACATCAAATGATAAAATTTGATCTTAATTAATACAAATATCAGATATTATAGCATTATTAGTTTTCGTGTTTAGCTTCTTTCGCCATCCTGGCTGCATAATAATTTAATCTGACTCCTTGAAACTTAGCAATTTATGCTTTTTAACGTGCCGAAGTTCACATTAGATAACGGTCTGTCGGAAACTTGGTTTGGCTCAAGCAAGTATAGTGCAATATTGTGTTTTGTGGTCGTAAAGAAATCGCCTGTTCATAAAATTCTGCAAAGAAACAGAGTTGTACCACCAAAACGGCACGCCATAGCGGGACCCTTTTTGTCATATTTTTAGAACTACAGTGCAGTATCGATACTGTGTGTTTAGCCTTTTTACGCTCTTTTTAAAAGTTAATTATAAAGCCGTCTTGAGTATGGCGGATCTCAAATGAATCGCAAATCAAGTCCAACAACGTCTACCCGTGTGTCCCATCTCTGCAGTTATCACAATGTACGGATTACTCCAGGTGGACATATCACCACCATATTTGCATCATTGTGGCAGTGGTGTTATCCTTCCAGAGAGTGGTAACCCAAATGAGAAGTATGGGAAAAACGTTTCAGAAAATTCTTACCTTACGACTTTACAAAGGGTGTCGAGTTTGAGTTCAGTAAGTCCAGTTGTTATCAGGAAAATTAAAATCTTTATTAGTTGTTCGGAGTAAAGTTGTAACCTGTGGTTTTTCTATTATTTTCAAAGTATGACCTAGTGTTGTACTTGAAACTGAATCATCTAAAAGACCGTAATAAGTATACTATTTTCACAATTGTTTTTCGTCAGTAATAAGTATACTATTTTCACAATTGTTTTTCGTCACCCTGCATATATCCTCGAGCGGGGGTATTATACTTTTATAATCGGAAGATGTACTGACAAATGGACATGTAGATGAAACAAACACGCGAGATCTGAATATGATAAAAAAATGTAATTAACGCAAATTTGTTCCATGTTAGTGCTCTAGTTGGTTGGTTGGTTTGATGGTTGGTTGATTGTGTTTGTTTGTTTGCTTGGGTACATTAAGAACTGTATTTATATATCATGTCATGGATATGAAAGCTAAGTGCCAGTCTATCTTTGACAAGTATCGATCCTTCGGCGATCTATTAACTAGACTACCGCAGCTCGCCCACAGGGTCGGTAATGCAGCATAAACCCAATGCATCCTCCTACAATGCCGTATGGTTGCTCTGGATATTTTCATATTTCGACAAGCCCCTAATTTTTAAAGCTGGAGCACGAGTCAGATAACTTAGCACTGTTTATACATACAGAGTAAATCTGCAATTTAGTTTATATGTGCTTGGGCTTGAACAAAAATGTTTGTTTGATGACATATAATTTTGACAGTACTACTAAAACAGGAGACCATGGGTTTCCAAAAAATAGCCAACTTGGTTTACGTGTTTGAGTAGCTCTGATACTGATATAAATGTCTCACAATCAAAATGGTTCAGGAGCAATGAGAAACATGCCAATTTATTATAAAATTATTGTGGGGAAATGAGAAGTGTGCTAGTTTGTTATAATATTTCTGACCTTTAATCATACAGGGTCCATGCTGTTTGTCTGAGCCGCCTTGTCAGAGGAAAATATTCAGAAAAGCCATGATTGTCGGATACGAAAATTACAAAAAAAGACGTTGGGGGTAATGTTAATTCAGTTTAAAAGTTAGCAATTATACAACGAATTAACCTGAATAACCTCAAAAATCTTACACGGATGCTTCCTGCAATTATTGTTGGTTATTTTATACTTGTATTGAATGAAAATCCACTACAATAATTGTACAATGAAAATCCACTACAATAATTGTACAATGAAAATCCACAACAATAACTGTCCAATGAGAATCCAATACAATAATTGTCCAATGAGACCTAAACCTTAGAGACAGCAACATTTTGTACCTATGTTTAATTTATTTAGAAGACGGGAATTATTGTTATTTTATTACAACGTTAATGATCAGTTAGTGGAAATTCATAACAAATTTAGAGAATATAGAAGCGACAGCCTACTGCTAAAATATAAGCTAATGTTGAAACAATATTTAGATATGCGTCCCAATGTACCATGGGCGGATCATAATTTTTAATATACTAATAGTATTGGTGTATCAAAGTCCATTGTACCAACACTTTAAAAGCCATGTTATATATATATATATATATATATATATATATATATATATATATATATATATATATATATATATATATATATATATATATATATATGTGTGTGTGTGTGTGTGAATTTTATCATAGGCCTGTCGTACTTTATCTTTGATTTGCTTGCCATTCTTAAATGCCTAAACTTAGTCGACACCATACCTATAATACCTGTAATGTAAAGATATGCTATTAAGCACTTTACATACATGCATGCATACAATCATGCATACATACATACAAATACGTACATACATACATACATACATACATACATACATACATACATACATACATACATACATACATACATACATACATACATACATACATACATACATGCATACATCAAGAAAGAAGAATACAAATACCGCTGGCCTAGTGGTTAGAACGTCCGCCTCGGATATGGAAGGTCGCGGGTTCGAAACCCCGGCTGAATCATACCAAACACTTATAAAAATAAATGGTAACAGCAGCTGCCTCGCTTGGTTTTCATCATCAATTTGATAGATCGGCCTAGTTTCATGATAATATGACTGGGTGAGACATGATGCTACATGTCTGATGCATGATGTCCCGGTGGCAGACATCACTGGAGACATCGTAGCGAAATCTCCGTTAAAATTCCAAAATCAATCACACACACACACACACACACACACACACACACACACACACACATTTTCAACAACATGATACTATGTAAGTGGAATGTCAAAACAAAGAAAACAATTTCACTCGCCCACCGAATTTCTGCGGAATAGAAGGAAAAATAAATAACTGACGCTTTTACCTTTTCCTAACAGATTCATTTTATTGAAATACAGCCGGGTAATCAAAGATTTCTCACAAAAACGGTTGATAATGTATACATAAATAAGTACGAAGCAAGTGCTTATGAATTTAAATGTTAATGTATGATCTGATGCAACCTATGAGGCGGTGAGGTAAGGAAAACAAATTTACAATGAAGCCTCCTTCTCTAAACAAAACAAAACAAAACAAAACGACAAAAAAATTTAGCTGATCATAAAAGAGTAAACAAATGCGTCTAATTATCATCCAGACTTGAATCATAGGAATTAGCGACAAATAAAATAAGACTATGTTTACCAGAAAAAAAAGCATTACTTTCTCGTTTCGTACAATGTTATCTTGTATAGTTTATTTGTTCCATAAGTTTAATTTTCACTGAATGATTGAACAGATTGTATACAATTTATCGTTTAGATTTGATGGTAAATAACGACATGACTCTCTTTCCAGAGGTGGATAAATATATCGTTAAGTACCTTTCTTATTTTCGGTGGGAGGGGAGGCGCAAAACAAGTATGTGAAGGGTCTGTGGTTCCTGCATTTTAAGATTTTTAGGGCATACTTTTTTAATCGCTTGACTGAAAAGAAAACTTCTTCTAAGTCACGTTCCGATTCTATGGAGCTAATTTTGTTCTGAAGGAGAGGTCGCTTTTACCTCTCTCCCATCTGCACCTGCTTGCCATTTTGGCATGAACTTCTTCACAACGTCAAAAAGTATGGTATCACATTTGTATGCAATTGGCGACAACTCCTACAAATAACTATCGATCACGACAATTCTCAAGAGACCCGGTGACAATACCAATTGTTTGGTTTCAGTTAATTTTAATCAACAAGTCTACTTATAATAATTTGAGGTTGCTGTGCAAAAATTGATAAGGAACGATAACTTGGAAATTTTGTATGCTTGTTATACCTATTTTTATAGCTAATTAAACTTAAACAAAATATAAACAATCTCTTCATATGATAAATTTCATATCTGTCCGAAAGCTCCAAGTTATACGATAAAGAACGATAGACGAAATAAAACCGTTTCAGATGCAATATCATACCATTATGGTAGAATCTGCACAAGTTCGGTAAAAGAAAGCTCTCTTGTGAGATAATGATTGAAAAATGAAATTAAAGAATGCATAGCCCAGAATACTTCTTTTCAAATTCCTATATGTGTATGATCGTATTTCCAGTGTAGAACACCAGTGCAGAAATCCTCTTTCCTACTTCACACGTGACCTTTATCCTGACAATTGGATTACTTTGACTGTCTACTGCAAAACATAATGCATACAGTGTATCAAACAATCCGCAATTTCGAACATTCTTTTACAATAATCGAGACACATTTATGGCACCACACAGACATACCTAAACGACCAGTGGTGGAAGTGTCCCACAAACAGGCAGTTTCGTACTTGTCGACTTTGATACGTGCACGTCTTTTTTAGAATAATTTAAGTAAAAATCGGAAATTTGAGGAAAAGAATGCCTCATATGTTTTAGGAATGGAAAAATCCACCCTTGGGAACAAAATCTTGCGTCCGTTACTCGGAAAAAAAACAAAGTGTCTGACGCAAAACTGTGACCCTCGGGTTAAAGTTTCTTATCCTATACAAATGCTTATGAAAGAGAATTCCTTAAATTACACGTGATGAATGCTATAATTGCGCTAGATGTGAGCATGACGTCATTAATAAACAAGTTACACGTATATGCAATGGAGGCTACTGAATATTTTCCGAGGTATTTCTCCCAAGCATTGGCGGAAACCCCACGAGTGTTCCGATTGCAGATAACATAACTTTTCTTATGTTCTTGGGAAAGGCTATTACTGAACTAATTCGAACTATATAAAAAAACTACATCGAGAAAGAAGTATACAAATACCAGTTACAAACCAGGCTTCAACACTAAAAACAAAACCAAATGAACAATTCAGAGACTGCTATATTTATGTGAAGAGATATATTTATGTGAAAATACCCATTATGGTCTCTGTTTACATAGCTAATAAACCTGTTGTCGCCATACAATACTAAAGAGCTCATGGCATTCATAGTATTCTTTCTAACAACGATTACAGACTTCAGATGAAAGATCGGAATACAGATAATATTCATCTAGTCCCCCAAATCCAGATGAGCTAGATCCAAACGATTCAAGTTCGCTGCTTGATCATAAGCTGACATGGTAGCTCCATCCATTTCTGTTGCAACAGCGTTGTCATTTCTAAGCCTATGCCCCTGTCCACCTATTAGAGATCCACATTCTGGGCATTTGCCTTCTTCCGTTGCTCCACCGCAATCGCCAATAGCATAAACATGACCTACGATATTTATAAAAACGATTTAATCAACACCGCAAATATGTAAAGTGTGAGTCATATAATAACTTGACTTAACTAATATCGAATATTGGGAAGTAATTTACAACGTCCGTATTTATGCTTGAGTGCCTTATTACTGACAAAATTCATATACTGCAATCTGATTAAGGCCATGTAGGAATCGAACATTGTCTAAGGTTCTGCTCAACAGATTCATGCTTTGCACAGGGTTTGAGTTTTAAAGAAAAGGAATTTCTCAAATTTTCCTCATTGACCACCTTGTTTACTAAAAAAGACCTTTTATATGGCAAGTATTGTTAAACTAATTCTTAATTTCCTTTCTTTGGTGTATGATTGTTTGGTGCAATTTGGGGTATAAAGTATACACTTGGCTTTACTTCAAATATGCACCTCTCGAAAGACTGCTAGTTCCGCTTGTTTTTTTTTTTCACTTATCGGAATCACAGGTAAATTGGGAAGAAAAAAAAACAAAATAGCCAAAAAGGTTTTTTTTTTTAAAAAAACTTATTTTATAGTTTATAGTTCCTTCATTGTAAATGCAGAAGGTATATTTGTCAAGTCTGGCAATATTAATTATCCATAGTTTTAATAACTGCTTAAGTTTTTGTACTTTGGACTATTTCAAGTTCATTTATCGAATACATGGGAGCATCCATTTTTATTAGCTGTCTACTTTACGGAGAGCGTTCTTACCCTAATATCATATATAAATTAAATTTAGAAACAGTACATCAACGTAGCAAAATTATGTCAGCATTTTCTCCATTGTGCTTGTTACAAATGCACAGAACTCCACCTTTTAACAATCCCAGTTTCAGAAGTACGTAATAACTGATGAGCAGAACCTAAGAACCGTCGATTAACCTTAATATAGTTGTATCCTTATCTCGGACACTAATGAGTATATGTGTATTAGTAAAATATCAGGAATCAATGCATGAGCAGAAGTCAATAGCGTATCATAATTAATTGCATGGCACTCTTGAAATTTATGTTGTAAAACGTTTCAAACTAAAATACATTGATACAATCCAAGAGAAATAAGAACTGGAAAACATATACACCATTTGACATAATTATAAAGATATTTAAATAAATGTATAAGTTGGTCCTTAGAGGACACTAAGCTTTAAGCCATTCTTTGAAAACAAAATCCGATGTTTTAAAATTTTTCTCTTTATCTCTACCAAATCATAAATGTTGCCGAATTCTTGTATACTAGCTTTCATCATTATAAAATGACAAAGTAGTGCAATCCGTCCGTCTGTCCGTCCGTCCGTCTATCCGTCCATCCATCCATCCATACAAATTTTTGAGACTGTACAGAGCAGTCTGTTTAATGGACGGTGAAATGTCTACTTGAAATGCAGTAAATAAAATTTTGAAATATATAAAGATTTTAAAGTGTTCTGAGTCAGTAAGAATTCGTTGCCTAAATATTCCATAAATCCAAGATATTTGTAAAAAAAAAATTAGTACGAAAAGGTGCAAGAAAATACGTCACATACCATTTCGGCATTTAAACCAATGACCTCTCTGGAAATCCATAGCCTTCATGATCATCAGTCGCTCTTCCTCTGTGATACCAAGACCGGTCAAGGGTATTACTTTCTTTAGCTGATCTAGACAAGATTTTACCTTCTTCTGACAATCTGGGGTGAAACGCTTCCCACCACTGACCATGCGCTCAGCTTCCTGCATCTGCTTCCTGAGATGCGGATCTATTTCCTTTTTAAAAACCCTTGCATTCTTCTGGTACAAAAGAAGCAGAAGGAAAGACTCTAATCGAGATATTTCTTGCTTGGCATCGCTTATTTCTTGTCGAGTCATAATGTTTCTCTCCTCAAGAGCCCATTCATGTAGTCTCTGAAGCAGATGAACAGATTTTTGTTTATCTACGCTGAAAGCAACATCTCGCAATTCTTCCCACCTTTGTAACAATCGTGTTATGGAGTTTACAATTAAAATCTGGTTTTCCAAGGCAGTATACTGTCTTTCTGATGTGGCCATTTTTAGTAAAAACTTTACTTTTGCAACTGTCTCTGGTGTCTCCGTATTAGAAAGGTCTTTCATCAATTCTTTTACTGACTGTACGATTTCTTGTATTCTATATCTGCTACCTAACGTCTTCCTTTTCACCTCTTCTATTTCATTTAAAGTTGCGTTCGTGATCCTCCCATAACGAAGATTTCTTCTTATAGGTGTCTTACAAGTGGGGCAAACTTTTAACTGTATTGTACTGGCTGCGTTGTCGACGTTGTCATTGCTTATCCACTGG